TCGCCCGCAGCTCGTGGTTCTGGGCCCCGTGCCCGCGGTGCCCTGGACCCCGGCCAGGACGACGGGGACCACGGAGGGGCAATCCGAGAGGACCTGGGGAGCCGACCTCGGGACCTGGGAAACAGAGCGTGAGATGCAGGGAGCAGAGACCCGGACCTGGGGCCCAGAGCCAGGAGCTGAGCCGGATCCCAGCTGGGCCCCACGGGCACGTGGCAGGAAGGCCAGGGGGATTCGATAATGGCCCTGTCTCCGGGCCTGCGACCTCCGTCATCCTGTTGGCACTTGACAGGGTGTATGGCAGGCACCCATTTCCTTAAGTGGGCCGCGAACCCCATCACGGAGAAACTGCAGTCTCCCCAGGGGCCTTATGGGAACACCCTGGAGACCTGGGGCCACCTGCAGCACCCCTCGGACTCCAGTTCCCATGGCCGTCAAGCTGAGGGTGCCCAGCCTGACCTTGGAAGGGTGCCACCTGCATCAGTGTGCACATCTGGAGGTTCTGGCCCACAAGTCCCTTGGACAGCTACAGGTGACTGCGCCACATCACTGCTTCTGCTCCCTGGACATTCGGAGACAATGGCCCCACTGCTAGTCTGAAATTCGATGTGTACTGCCTGCAGTCTGGTCCAGGTCCACAGCTGTGACCTGCACACCTGCCTGGAAGTCAGGCTTTGAAGGGCAGAGGTGACCTGGCTGGAGCTGGTGAGGGCCCCGCATCCACCTGGGCCCAAGTCCCAAATTGCTGTAGGAGTTTACCCTCTGCATCCTGGCTTCTAGATCTCAGTGACCAAACTTGCTGGCCAGCTGGAGAGCTCCCCATCTTCCCCAGTGACTGACTTTCCTCCTTCAGACTCCATCAGCCCTGCCAGCCCATCTCTTGTCTCAGCTGCCGCAGTGCACAGCAGCCAGCAGGGAATAGAGCTCCTGTCTGATTTGTTTACATGTGTTGTGTGTCCCCACCACAGCATGCGGTGGGTGCTGAATGGGTCATTGACCAGGGTGTGACAGCCTCGCAGGTGGCTGACAGGCAGCTTGGGAATGCCTGTGGGCACCCAGGCCCGAAGGCTCCCAGTGCCCTGGGCCCAGGCAGATCTACAGACCTAGTTAGGTACAAGCTGCTGCTTCCCAGTGACAGCCAGAGGAGCACCAGGAGTCCCAGGACCTGTCTTCCCAGACGGGTTCCTGGCCACACCTGTTGCCAATGGCACTTATTGGTCATAGGAAAGCACAGCCCAGCCTCACAGTAGGGGAACTTGGTCTGCAGGTGGTAGCTAGCCTGTTTTCTCTGCCTACTATAAAATATTAACCCCAACTCAAAGCCTCGGAATAACACACATTATTTTAAAAAATTTCTACCCTCCAGTACTGGGGATTGAACTTAAGGCCTTTGCACTGAGCTACAATCCTACACCTTTATATTTTGAGACAAGACCTTGCCAAGTTGTAAGTTACCCTGGCGAAGTTTGAACTTAGGGATTCACCTGGCCACAACAGGTCCATTTGCCTTTGTGCAAGCTGTGCTGTCTGCCAAAATATCAGCTCCTAAGTGTGCTTGAGGGTACAGATCTAAGGTTCCCTCTTCCAGGCAGCCTTCCTGGACCTCCTCCCGTACTGCCTCTTGGGTATACTGTGGTTTCTCCAGCCTCCCAGCTAGGAGCCTGTGGCCTCATGCTCTCCTTCCCTAAAAGGAGGCTGAGTTCCCTTTCCATATTCTCTCTGCACTCACACCCAGTGCATGCCCTCCCACTGGTACGCTGGCCTTGACACTGGGCCTCAGGCTCGGTGCTCCTCCCAGGAGGAAAGGGTGGCCGCCATGTCTGGCTCAAGCCCAGTATGGGTAGTAGTTCTCCTCTCTGAACCTGGGTGACAATAAACCCTCTGCTTTCTCAGAAGTCATTTGTCCACAAGTATTTATGGGGTGCCTCTTATATACTAAGGGTGCACCGGGCACCCAAAGGGATACACAGACAGAAACATTGTTTTGGCATTGCTCTCCGAATCGTGAGCCCCACCTACCCAAGCCTTTCCCAGGCTCCATCCCCCAGTTTCCTCCCGTTCTCCCCCAAGGACCTGAGGAGCAGAAGGGTCCAGGCTGACCAGCAGGGCAGCACATGGATCCAAAATCCAAGTCCAAGCCAGGCGTGGTGGCACATGCCTGTAATCCCAGCACCCGGGGGGCTGAGGAAGAAGGACTGCTGTGAGTTCGAGACCAGCCTGGGCTACACAGTAAGCTCCAGGTCAGACTCAACTACATAGACCCTGTCTCAAAACACAAACAAAATCCGAGTCCAGGTAGCTTCCGCATCTCAACAGCCCACCGTGGCAGCCCAACTCTGAGCTTCTCCTCCGCCTTAGTGTTCAGGTACAATCTGTCCTGTTCCCACAGGAAGCTAAAGGTCTTTTAAGGGATGTGGGCTAATCTGAAACTGAATTTTGGCCTCGGAAGGCTGTAACAACTGGTCCATCTCTGTTGAGAGCGCAGGTTCTCGGGGGAACAGACTGCTCTAAATGAGTGGTCAGGACGGGGAGGCTGAGGCTAGGGTGTCAGCCCGGTACCAAAAAATAAGTGGCCAATCAGAATGTTGAAGTGGGCATTTCTATAGAGATGCCACGTGCCTTCCTAGTGCCACAAGGTCCGGAGGAGTGCTCCGAGTGCTGCCGGCGGGCAGAACTGGGTGGGCGCCCCAATGCTGGCGGTCAATCGGGGACCAAAGGCTGGCGTTGCTATGACGACCACTAGGCGCGAGAGAGCAAGCCGCTGGCCTGGCCGCTGACACAGAAAAGAGGTGTAGGGAGCTGGACCACCAGCCACAGAGAAGCAAGGTCGCGGGGCATCAGAAGTGAATAATGAGGAAAAGATCCAGACAACAGCCGACCTCGCCAGAGAAAGGGGGTTCCTAAGGCCGAGCATTTAGCTCGGTGGTTCTGCCGCCTGCCTCGCAAGTGCAAGGACCAGAGTTCAATCCCTGGTACACACAAAAAAAACCCCAAAAAAACTTAAAACTAATTTTTAAAAAAGAGTACAACCTAAACTCACATTCGAACTCAGATTATGAAGCTATGATTTAACCCTTTTTGTGTTGAGGATTCAGTCTAGGGCTTGCACTGAATTACAGCTCCCACTGTTTCCTGTTTATCAATTTTTATTTTTATTTTTATTTTTTAGTACCGGGGATCTAACTCCGGACCCAGCGCTTGAGAGGCAGGCGGTGGAACCACTGAGCTAAATCCCTGGCCCTTGATTTTGACAGTCTCGCACAAGTAGCTAAATTGCTCAGGGTGACCTCCATCTTGAGACCTTCTGGCCTCAGCCTCCCTAGTAGCTGAGATTATATGTTTGAGGCCAGTTGTGTTAGGGACAGCTATGATTACATTTTAATTCTATCAGATTTCAGCACCGGTAGATACATAAAA